ACAAGTCATATGTAATGCATTGACCAAAAACACAATAAAGGCGGTAGCTACCGATAACATCGGCTTTAATAAATAAAAAAAAAAAAAAAAAAAATTTTGTAACAACTAAATTTAATTCTAATTGTGTCATATTAATTTAATTCTAATCGTAACATATTTAATGACTAAAGTCTAAGGCCCAAGTCCAGAAGGCAATTTATGTAATATTATTTGCAACGAAAATGAGTAATACTTAGCTTAGCAGCATTCACGACTAATTAAAAAAAAAGATGTCAGTAGAACCGAATTTAATCGTGTAATAGGGGATCTTAATCAAGCTTTGTTAGAATTATTGTTCGAATTAGTATAGTTAGAATATATTACAAAGAACTTCAGAATATATAACATTTCTTGTGCAGTTAGAAGTATTAGATGACTTCTCATTTTCACATGAAACCAAGATTTTTAAGTTCTCTGGCGACATTACTCTTGAACAGGCTACATATAACTGACTGTGAGAGAACACAGAAGTGGGTAAATATAATCCAACACAAGAGAAGGTTTGTCCTTGAGCCTTATTAATGTCATAGCGAAGACAGGATGTACAGGAAACTGGTGACGTTTAAGAACAAAAGGTAAATCTATATTGGAAGAAGTGAGAGTAATACGCGGAATAAAAACACGCTTTCCAGTATGAGCACCAGTAAAAATTTTAGCTTCAATGACACGATGCTGAAAATTGCAACAGATCAACTGAATGCCATTGCAGAGACCTTCCGCAGTATTTAAATTGCGCAGCAGCATAATAGATGCACCAACTTTCAAAGTAAGCTATGAGCAGGAAAGTTTTCCAAATTCAAAGAGTTTAAAAACTCAGGTAGATAAATATGAGCCTGATTATTAATTGTATCTTCACTAAGAGAGTCAGCACTAAGATAAGTTACTTCTTCTCCTGAAAATATTTGCATAATTGCATGATTAATTGAATTGACATCATCATTCTTGGGTGCTAGAATTCCTTGATTTACCAGATATTCAGAATTACTGTATTGAGTAGCAATATCTTTATATACAAAGTCGCATAAGTCAAGGATATTCTGAGATGGTAAGACAATATCTACAGGTAACCTGATCATATTTCCATCTTGCTCAATTACTGGAATACATCCCTCACCAAGTTGCAATAACCAATTGGCAAAATTCTCATTAGTACTAACATTTAAAGCTCTTGAATTTTGCAGACACATGTTTGTCTTTAAGAACAGTAATTGCACATGACGCCAAATATATGAACATTGAAAACAGGCATCAACAATGCCTTCATGTTCAACTTTTGGTACAACTAGAAGTATTTGGTAAAAATCTTCCCCAAACACAATAATCTTACCTCCAAAAATTACATGCTCTAATAATGGGTCTATAGTCTTCATCAGGTCCTGAAGGGTTCTATCTACAGCTTCTATGGCATACCTATGCATCATTGGAGCCTCATCCCAAACTATAAAGTGAGTTCTTATAAGAAGGTTAGCAAGATTAGTCTGAAGAGAAATAGAGCAAGTAGAACTTTCATTTGGGTTAAGAGGGATTTTAAATAGAGAGTATGCAGTACGACTACTGTTAAGTAGAATAGTGGCAATTCCAGAAAAAGCAACAGCCAGAGCGATATGACTATCACCATGAACCTTGTCTAAAAGAACATTATATAGAAAGGTCTTACCAGTACCTCCAGGTCCATCCACAAAAAATAATGTAGAACTATTATCTTTAACGGCTTGTATGACTAAATTAAATATTGCAAGCTGATCTGAATTGAGGCATGATTGGTTATTAATAGCACGCTGAGCAAGCATAAGCACATCATATTGTTGCTCATCAAAAATAAGTTGGTTGCCATAAATTGATGACGTATCTGGAACAGGCATGTTTGGAAAGTCTGTAAGGCTTTTCCCATGTTTATGAAGAATTGACTCTATATAATGTAGCACTCTATTATTTAGATCTTCATCACTTAATTCTAGATTATAGTCATTAGCATCACAGTAAGCTTGCGAAAGAATGTCATCTACAAATGCAAACCTATACTTCTCCCAAAGTTGCTCTGGATATGTTGGTTCACAGAATAAAAGAATTATTGCGAACAGCTGACATAGTTGTGCTCCTGATCAAATAAGGCATGCCTTGTGTAAACAATCATCCCATTCCTGATCATTCTGTAGCAAACCCAAAGCATCACAAGCCTCTTTATAAGTATTATAAATTATTCCATTCACAGTTCGTAGATGCTGAAATGAAGTTGCTCCAAGTATAGTATCAAGTAGAATTCGAAGATAAAAATGCTCTCCAGCTCCAGGATGCATGAAATACATGTGCCCAATTGTATTACCTCGTTTTCTAGGTGTCTACTGCATTTTCTTCTTGTTCCAGACCCATTGTGTTGGAAAATTTGCGTATATTAGTTCTCTGGCCTCCAGATATATTGCATTTGCTGTAAACCATTCTGTAAACATCGTTTTATGAATATTTCTTCTTTGTAAAATTTCCTGAAGTGACACATCATCCGAAAACATAACCATTTGCTGATCTGGAAGATGTACTTGTAGTCGCTGAATGTCTGATTTTTCGTTATGCAAGTGATAATGAAATATTCTTCATGAAGCTTCTGATGCTGATACATATTGGGTGTTAAGATAATGATGAATTTCATTATTAGTATCCATGTTACCTCCAGAAAGTAACTCAACCATAGCACGATCATGTCCTTTGTATACATATTTAAACAAATATTTTACTGCAGTGATAGAAGAACAAATCTCCACATTTATGTGTGCATTATATTTAGTAGCAAGGTATAAATTGTGAGGAACTACCCATTGATTATTCAAAATAATACCTTTAATTTCTACAGTACATCCATCATCACGTCGTCTATATACTGGATAGCTGTTTTCATTTTCAGTGGTAGTAGAATTAAACTGCTGAGGATAATGTTTCGAACATTTGCCATTCTGCATGCAGGAAGCATTAGAAATTATAATACTACATGGCCCGTGCATCTTCATCCTTTTTACTGTTTCATATGCTAGAGGATATAGTATAGGATCAGGAATTTCAGCTGAAACAATATGATCAAAATTATCAGTTGTTTTAGGCTTATGCTCCGGTGCAAGAATTAGTAGCATATGAGAATATGGAAGACCATGTTTCTGAAACTCAATAACATATATATAAGCAATTACTTTACCAAAAATATGTTTTTTAAGAATATCATTAAGAAGTTCTTTAAGCTTCAAATTAAAGATATGTGTGATAAGATCGGGATGATCTTGGGCAGATTGATCTAAAAGAAGCTCAGCTGTGATTTCAGGCCACGTCGGGTTGCAAGTAAAGGTTATGAAAAGGTTGGGCTTTCCAAAACAGCGTACAATTCCCATAGCATCCTGGTAAAGCTGGTGTATTTGTCAAGGGCCTCCCATAAATGTTGAAGGAAGAACGATTCGTTGGCCTATTTCTCCACCTTGCTGCACATTTGCAGTCTGAAAAACATCCTGTAAACCTGTAAAAATGCAAAAAATAGACAATTAGAAACTGAATAAATAGGTAACTTTAAATTTAGCAAAAATATTTATATAGTTATAGATAAAGCAAATTTTATTTTTACACTTACCTTGATATAGCTCAGTGCAAATTTTTTTCTGGTTGGATTTTAAAAAATTTAACCAGTTTTGCTCAATAACAGCATAGGTGTTTACAATATATTGCTGAAATAGACAATCTGCTAGATGTAATCCAGATCTTTCTTTTATTCGCACATGCAAACGATATGCGTAGAACTGCATAAGTGTAACAAATCTATGTCTTGCAATATGTGAACTCTCATTATCATCACACATAGAATCTCCATTATCATGCTAATTGTTATCCATATTATTATTACTACTGTGTTCTGCAGTAAATAATATATTTTGAAGGGGAATCCATAGATACCAACCATCTTCACCTCTTGGAAACAGCAATACATAATGTAAAAGAATATATGATCTATGCAACTCTGATATTCTCTGCAAAGTTCCATTACAAAGACTAAGTACAATATCACGATGTGAGGGCTCAGTCTCATGCTCATTTCCCACTAAAATTGCTGCAACTTCATTGGCAGCTGATATATTATATCGTCGCAGATCCGCTGTTCTATCTGCTCTAATTATCATTGAAAGTGTTGTAGCAGGTTTCTGTGTCAACTTATTACGTACCTGTCTAAAAACAGTGACATATGGATTGACTTGGTCCAACATTTGTTGTAAATCTGCAAGTACAGAAGCATCTAAAGAAGGCATTACATTCATCCTGTTTTGTAATTTGTGCTCAGTATCATAAACATAAATTTGTGCAAAATGTGGAGATGCACCAGGTTGTGCTAGAAGAAGAGATCCAATATTGTGATACATCTTTCCATGAATTCGAAACATATAAACACCTAAAATGTAAAATAATAAATAGAATTAAATTATCACAATAGAGCTATAATAAGTGATAAAACAACATATGAATGCATACCTCCAACACTAGTAACACTATCATCGATATTAGCTCCAATTGAAGTAAAAGCTAAAGCTGAATTGTATGATCGAATTCTCTGATGAAAATTTCGAGCCCTTGCATTAGTACTGGTAAGAAGTGCATATAATATAGGTGGTGGATCTTGCAAAGATGGAAGAATCACTTTGCCTTCTGCACAACAACCCATAAAAATAGGGGATCTTTTGCTAGAGCTTGCTTTTCTTTCTTCTAATCACATTTTAGCATTACAATATCTGCATACTTGATCCATTCTACCAAAATGATGTCATTCTAAAGTGTCAAATTGAAATGGTTGTAACGCTAGTGGTAGCGAACCAATCTGTAAAACAGAAGCAGGATTAGTATTAATGGAAATAGAAAATGAACTGACAGAAGAAGTATTGAAAGAAGAATCCATGTTATTAGAATTAGAATCTAAAATAGGAATCTGTAAAGAGGAAGTAGAGTCAGTAAAAGAATTAACACAATTAGAGTGTTGGTGACTTTCTGCATTTTCAGGCAACAAAGTTTGCACTTGTCGTGTCACTACTTCTCTTCTCCTGCTTAGTTGTAATGCTGCTTCTTCTGGTGTTTTTCTTTCTCTTCGTCACTTTGCTGCCTCTCTTCTTAATCTTAAACGTCGTTCATTAGCAGTCTCTTCAGTGGTTTCAGTTTTTTCAAAATTCTCTTGTTCAGCTCTTTGATTTTCTTGTTCAACTCTTTAAAGGCGGTAACATTGCTGTCGTTCATGTTGAAGTCTCTTTTGGCGGTCATTTGAACTTTCGCTTAACATTTTTTTTTGAAAATATTTTTTTTTTGAAAATACTAATATATTAGTTAGTCAGGCAAGAAGTTCAAAGATATTACACGTAAGATCTAACTATGAAACTGGGGTAAAATCACCACCCTAAAAAGTTTCAAGACCAATCAAATCTCAAGATTAGGTGTAATGTAACACGAATAGAAAAATTCAAAACAAATGTTCGTTTTGTCAAAAATGCCTATAACCCAAAAATTCGTCTATGAAACTGTCTTCTGTGCATTAATTAAAAGTTTTCCTTGTGGAATTTTGCTATAACAAATGATTTTAGACACAAATCTAATAGCAAAATCCAAACCCTAACTTAAAAAAACAAAATTTTACTTGAAACTTTTTAGGGTGGGGATTTTATCCTTGTCTAACTATAACGTGTGATGTGCAAATTAAGAAAATTAAAAGTTATACGAATGATTAAAGCTAAAGTTACACAATTGATTTATTTATATTAACGCTAAAGTTACACAATTAAGTTATTTATATATTGTAGTCTAAACGTTACATTGCAGGATCGTTCGTTCACATGACCCTATCTTTTTTTACTTTAGTAGAGATTTTATTATTAATTGAATTTAGATCTGTTATTTTAATGAATTCTAGATAATAAAAATATTAGTAAGATATTGGTTAATTTTAAATATAAAATAGGTAATGAATTCAAGCTCTTATTATCATTATTATCTGGCTTGTATGTATTTTTTATTTTTTAAAATAAAATTAAAATATTGACAGAAAAAGATAAGTTGTTTGCTCTTAAACTACAAATAAATAAAACCTGATTTTTACAAATAAAGACCATAAGACAAAAGTTAATTCTGACAATAATAAAGAAGTTGCCTGGTTATAAACAATATTTTAGTATAATTGAGAAGATATTATAACAACATTATAAAATATAAAAATAGACAGCAACAATAAATATCAGTTTAACTTTAAAGACATACAATAGGTCCAAAAAGAATAAAAATACAAGAGTAAATGAGATAAGCATAATATAAAATTAGGCATTATATAAATTATTATTATTATTATTATTATTATTATTATTATTATTATTATTTAAAAGAAGAAAAGAAGATATAAAGCATTAATATATTTAATTAAATCAGATAATAAAAAAATTGCACAATATTTATATGATGATTTAAAATTGTAAACAAGAAATAAAGATAGTAATGCATATTATTTTGATGAAGTATAGATAACTAATAATAAAGTAACAAAAGAAGATAGAGAAAAGTAAAAAAATTAGTATGTATAAACAAGTAGTAGTATAAAAAGCATGTTAGTATATTATATTCTATTAAATTAGCTAGCATTATGTATTTGTATAATATTGACTAATTTAATAATATATGTTCTTTATAGTTATATTAAACAATAAGCTATCTTCTTAATACTAATATTATATTTAGTTAAAAAGATTGTTTTACAAACTTATTAATCTATTTGTGAAGTCTTTTTAATAGAATATACAAATGGCACTATGAAGGTTATATGAATAAAGATGAGACTCTATTACAAGACTGTTCTAACTGGGCACTATTAGCTAATGCACTAAGTCATTATAAAATTTCAGAACCAGAATTTGATACAGATTATTCTATTGAAAATAAAAACCCAAAAGAAAAAAAAAAAAAAAAAGCCAAACATAAGCAAAATAAAAAAGAAGTTAATGTAAAAAAAACTAGTAAAAAAAAAAGAAACAATAATAATAATAATAATAGAGTCATATTATATAAAAAAAGTAAAAAAACTGAAACAGAAAAAAGAAAGAAGTTCTTTCTTACCAAGTCTTTAAGAAACCATTACAACAACAATAACAAGCACATTAGCAGTAACAACTACAAGTATACTAATAGCAACAACTACAAGAATACTAGTAGCAACAATAGCAAGCATACTAGTAGCAACAACATTAAGAATACTAGCAACAACAATAGTAAGAATATTAGCAGCAACAATTGCAAAAATACTAGCAGCAACAACAGCAAGTATATTGGCTAAAGCAACTGTAGGCCTATCAAAAACAAGACCAAAAACACTTATAATAAAGATCAGTAGATTAATACAAGTAAAAAAAGAAGAAGATCTACAAGTATATTGAATAAATAATGATGAAAGTGAAGATGATAACAAAGATGAGAATAAAGATAAGAATAAGGATAAGAGTGAGAATGAGAGTAAGGATGAAGGTAAAGGTGAAGTGAAGGTGAAGATAAAAGTGAAAATGAAAGTATAAGTGAAGACAAAGATATAGTGCAAAAAAAAGTAAAGAAAACAAAAAAGAAAAAACAAAGATAAAGAGAAAGAAAAAAAAAATAATAAAAAAATTGATAAATAAAAATATTATATATTTTATTGTATATTTTTTTTTTTTTTTAAATATTAAAGTGAGTACTTGTGATTCAAGATTTTATTGATAGTATATTTGGTTAATGATTGCTTTACAACTACAAGGAGCAATCATAGAGAGAGTGTACAACTAGTCACTCATACAACTTTAGTCATTGTCTAATTTAAATAGTCTGCCTGAAGGTTCTACACTAGCTGCCATACTTGGAACCCACTTGTAGGTTCCCTATTTAACCACTCTGTTTTCATATCCACCTACCTACCTCTGTCTACCAATGACCCCAGCTGATGCTGATAAAAATATGCCATGGCCACTAAGTCTTTAAAGCAGTTCTTTTTAGAACCTTTGACCTTGTACTAAACTTTTCAGAATCTTCTATATCTCATTCTTACAGTTAACCTGATATCGCTATAGTCAAAACCAACACTAGTGGTCAGAGCATATTATTAAACTGCTATGCTCTTGTAGAGTTCATTCCAACCATGGTACTTACTTTACAACATATCTTTACTACTTTGGTATTCAATTCAAGTTCCACCAAGCTGCCATTCCAGATAGCCCAGAAAGGTAGAGTGAGATCGCACCTCTGGTTTACATGTTTGTTAGCATGTACCCTTTTCTTCCAGAACCTGGAAATTCCGGTAGCCTGATTGGTTCATCTGGTCCCTCCTCAAAGACTAGCACATTTGCCCGGTTTCACAAGTTCTAGCTCTGTTTTATAAGTCTAGTCTTTACAATAGCACTGTCGAAAGCTCGAATTACCTCTCTACTTGAGTCTTCCAAGTGGGTTTCCATCTTTCTTCTATTGGTTCCTATGATTTACATGGCCACGAGAACTTATTGTAGGTTTGCACCACCTGGTACTGGTTTGCATTCCTTCATGTAACCACAGACCTTGTCCCAAAGGACAATGTCATATGACTGTTACACAAATGCCATGTGACCTGCCAGTCATACTGGTGCGATATAGATTACAGGTGTCTTATCCCAACCAATTGCGAGAGACAGTTAACCGTAACACAGAAAGGATTTTCAAATTTTCCGTTGATACTAGGATTTGAACTTTGGACCTGCCACTTGGAGGTTGACAACCTAACCACTTCACTAGGTTGTATATTTTTATTTAGTGTAATAGTATATTAAATAATAAATAGATATCAGTTAATATTATTATTTTTTTTATTTTATTTTATAAGCAGTTATGCTAGTGCTTTATTAAGATTTTTAAAACTACTACTGTAATTATATAAATTTACCTAACAACTAAGTCTAACATCACTTAGCTACTCTAATGGCACCTAAGTGCAACCTGCTATATTACTTCTAGCAGAAGTAAGCTGCTTGTCTAACTACTTAAAGTCCATAATGAAAGGGTCTTTTCTTTTTTATAACAAGTTTGTTAATTGTTTTTCTAATTTCTTTTTTTATTCACTCTTCTTTTTCTTTTGTTTTTTTTTTTTCTTCTATTGCTTGCTGATTAGCCTTTCTTTTTCTCTTTATATTTGACTTTTCTTTTTTTTTTAGTCTTTTTTTTTTTTTTTTACTTATTATTTCTCTTTCTTTTTCCCAAGTATGACCTTTTCATAACAGATTTTTCAAACTTGTTCATAGAATGTATTTCATATTGTTTCTGCTACTGTGTTTGCAAACTGTTGTTTTGTTTTCATACTTAAGATTTGAGATAACCTGTCTTGCATTGTCTTTAGGATTAGGCCTTTGATCAGTGCTTTTTTTATTTCTATTTCTTTTTGCTCTGTTTGTCCAAAAAGTGCTGTATATAATACTTGAGATAGAACTTGTATCTTTTCTTCTTCTTTTAAACTATTTCATGCTGTCACAATAGATACTTTCTGTATCCTTTTTTATAAATTTGCTTGTCCCTTACATGATGCCAAATGTTCTTGTATTTCTTTAACTTTGCTTTGGCAAACTTGGTATTCTGCTGTTGTATATATATCTGGCATTCTTTTATTAAGTTTTTTTAATATTGGAAGCTTGTTTAATATATATTTTATGAAAGCACTTTTTCTTGTACTGCTTCTTCTTGTTAGGCAGTGTACTTCTTTAGATAAATTTAGCCTTCTTCAAAAGTATATTCAATTATATATCATTACTTCTGCTTCTGGTTCAATATTCTTGATTGCTATTGTTTCTTTTCACTCTATTCCTAGTCTGACATTTGTTATTCTTTTATATAAAAGTCTTGCAGATATGTCTATTCACTTGTTTTTCTACTTTAGACAGT